TCTTCTTCCTCCAACCCCTCTAGCTAGGTAAATACCTTCTTTCTTAACCATGTCATACTCTAATTCTAGTCCTGAGTGTTACAATCTCCCAAACATGAGTGACACCAATAGCTCTTCCTATTCCTCGTCATCTAGTTGTGGGAGTTCTAGTAGCAGGTCTAAGGGCTTACCTTAGAGGCGCAAGGTACAGGTATTGAGGGAGAGAACCGCTCCTGGAGGCATCAACTGCGACTAGCGGAGCAGTGAGTCTAAGGGGAGAGTTGTTGACAACCCATCGTTTGTCCACAATTGGAAGAAGAAATATTTCTTCATGTCCTGTCCAAGGGGATGGCCTTTTTGATTTGATTGGGGGAAGCTAGATATTTTGGCCGAGAAGATACGACCATATAATAACATTGAGGAGGACAGCGTGATGACCCAGATTCGTTGATCGGGGATGATTCGCGCCAAGCCCTTGGTGGAGGAGAAAGCCTTGGTGTGGACTGGTCTCAGCCTTGCCCGCCTTGGTAGGGGAACTCCTATAGTCGGTTGTACACATCGTCTTCCCTCACTCTTCTCGCGTACTAACATGCCTTGTGGTGTTTTGCAGAGACAGAAGGCAACATTAAGGATAAGATCATGTAGATGGCGAAGTCCAATAAGAGGACTTTGGGCCGGGTGCTGTCAAGGAAGCCAACGCCGAAGGAATCTACTACAGTGAAGGAACCACCCCGGGCGAAGGATCCCGTCGAGGCCAAGAGGATGAAGGATTCCACCCCAAAGAGACCCGCCGAGCTGCTCCAACCTCCAAGAGGAAAAGGATTGGCGGTGAAGGAGTGTCAAGTTAAGGGCATTGTCGGGGGCACGCGTTAGTCAGGGCACCATTCTTCAGACCGTCGCAATAATATGCCATTGGCAGTGTGATGCATTTTCTGCCCTCACTAGAGTGTGTGAGAGGGCGACACACTAACTACGATGCTCCCTGATGGGGATACGTAATCTTGGACCCAAATGAGCATTCAAGGTGTCTGGGACACCTTGCTGGATCACTTGGCTGAGGTGAGACTCTTTCCTTCCATACTTAGCCAAATTTCTCTTCTTTGTTTTCACCTAATTCACGGTCGTTTGTTCCTTGCAGACATCTTCGACTACCATCGGCCTTTGCGGCAAGGTTGAGGTCCTCCAACAACAACTTAGGACCTCGCATTAGGATAAGGAGTAGCTGGAACGACAATTGGCCGAGGCCGAGGGTGGCCGAGAGGGAGCAGTTGTGATTTACTTGGGCCTCTCTGAGTGAGGCTGAGGAGAAGCTTGAGGTGGCCGAGAAGAGCATGGGAGGTCTCAGCCCAGGCTATGGACAGATGGAAGACAAGTTTGGACAAGTTTGGTGTCATCTCTTATTTAGAGGGCATCAAAGATACAAAGGCCTAGGTGTTGGCTCTACAACTGATGTGGTGCAGCCCTCCGAGGGTCGGGCCAGCGATGAGCAGCCTGCATAGCCCGAAGTTACCAATGAGTGCATGGACTTCAAAGCTTGAAGACACTCTATGTGGGGCTAGGGTCTCTTCACGAAGCCTCTTTCTGTTTATCCTCCTCGTACATCTCCAAAGTCTCCTTCATTGCTTTTTGTTTGCTTATTTTTTGTAAGGGGCTCAACCTCCCCCAACCGAGGCTGACTTTTTGTAAAGTTCAAAATGATGATGAATGAATGAAATGGATTTTTTGTCTATCTTGTGCCTTTTCTTTCTTTTTTTACTTGTTGTGCTAGGGGACGATGACCCCCCTCTAAGAGGTCACAAGTAGCAAAAAACCAATTGTCTTTTACTTAGCCTGTTGTTAGGGCTTTAAATTAAGGAAGTTAGGTCGAGGCCGAGCTTCACCACCGAGGGCTTGGGTCCCCTTTCCTTAGCGAGGAGGAAACAGAGGCGAATGCCTTAGCTCACCTGGCCTATACTTTGCCCTTTCCCATCAAGGTAGGTTCGCGTGTAGCAGAGGCCTAGCTAGTGGTTCCTAGACGTGATCGCAGAGTGCTTTTGCCTTAGCGGAGCAGCATTGCCTATTTTAGTGTGTTCATTAGTCCTAGTTTGCACTAGCTAGTGGGTCGACACTGTGGGCTGATGTTGTAGCTGAGGTCCATGGAGTCCTTTGCCTTGGCCCAAAGGCAAATAGGAATATGACTCTTCGTGAGTCGTGTGCCTTGGGCGTCGTCCAATCTGAGCATATAACCTTGGTGAAGATTGTGTGCTACGGCTAGTGGTGCAGCCGAGGGGTCCTAGTAGTTAAATGGAACAAGAATGTCTACACTAAAATTGGAGTTGAGGCGAGAGGAACTTTGCACTTTTCATTGATTAATTTTTGTATAAGAAATTACATTGCCACTGATAGTATATCTAGAGGTTTTCGGAGTTCCTAGTATGAGGGACCGGTCCTCTGCCCAAGTATTCTAGCCAAAAGGTACCGGGGCAGACCACCTGCTTGATCTATAGGGCCCTTTCTAGTTGGGGCCAATCTTTCCAACGTCGGGCTCGGGCACCATGACCTTTTTGAGGACGAGGTAGCTTTCTTGGAAGTGGTGCTCTTTTACCCAAGAGTTGTAATATCGAGCTACTCTTAATCATTCTTGGCTTCATTGTACGCCTCAGCTCGAAGCGCCAGCTAGTCGATCTTTGTTAGGATGACGGCCCCAGTCCAGTAAGTCAAGTTAAATGTGGTCTCACTCATGGCTATCCGAGGTGTCATCAAATGGCCCTTAGGACTCTATACATCTCATTGGCCCAAAGACCCTTCCCTTTATCCAATCTTGTCTTCAGTCTCTCCAAGACGGTTCTGTTGGTGACCTCGGCTAGGTCGTTGGTTTGGGGGTAGCCGACTTAGGTGTACTATTGTTTGATGCCAAGGCTTGCACACCACTCTCTGAACCTAGCATCGTCAAACTGCTTTCCGTTGTAAGTGACAAGTATGTGGGGGATGCTGAAGCTACAAATGATGTTTTTCTAGGAGAAGCATTGGATAACATTGCCTGTGATGGTCTGCAAGGGCTTGGCATTGACCCACTTGGTGAAATAGTCTACGCAATGATGATGTATTTCTTGTTCCCGGTGGCTTAATGGAAGGGTCCGAGGAGATCTATTCCCCACTTGGGAAAGGGCCATGGACTATTGAGGGCTGAGAGGGTTGTGGTTGGCCAATGGGAGATGTTGGAGTGTCTCTAGCATCAGTCACACTTTTGTACTAGCTCGGTTGCGTCCTTCTATATGGTCAACCAAAAATTCCCTTGCCTTAGTGCTTTCTTTGCAAAGCCTGTCTTTGAGGTGGTTTCCGCAGATGCCTTCGTAGACCACTCGAAGCACGTACTCACCCTCCTCTTGGCAAAGGCATCGGAAGTAGGGCAAGGCGAAAGACCTCCTGTAAAGTTTTCCTTCGAGCACAACGTGGTGGGCTGCCTGCCATTGGACTCTCCTTGCCTCATTCTTGTCGAAGGGGAGTTGCTCGTGCTGTAGATAGGTGAGGATGGGGTCCATCCAACAAGACTCGGCTTGGACTAGAAGCACCAGCATCTCTTCAATACTGGGTCATGCTAGCTTGTCAACACACATAGTGTGGCCGAGAGCTGGTCCCGAGGTACTTGCCAACTTAGATACAGCATCGGCTCTCATGTTCTCGGCCCAAGGGACTCATTGTAGGGCGAGGTGTTAGAAGTGGTTGGCTAGCTCTATTGCACTTTGGCCAAGTACTTAGCCTTGTTGGGCTCTCGGGCTTCGTACTCTCCGTTCACTTGGTTCACCAATAACTGAGAGTTGCTGAAGACTTCAACATGTAGGGATCTGAGGTCTTTGGCAAGTAGCAGTCCAACGAGCAGGGCCAAATACTCGGCCTTATTGTTGGAGGTAGGGAAGCTGAACCGAAGTGCGTACTCAACCTCAATGTTATCCGGGGTGAGAAGTATGAGACCTACTCCGCTACCTTGGCATCAGAGGCTCGTGCCTTGATCGCAGGCCTCGGTTGGTAATATAGGTCGAACTCAAACAATTCAATGGCCCACTTGGCCAATCGAATCGGGGTCTTATGCTTGGAGAGTACAAACTTGAGGGGTTGGTTGGTCAACACTATGATGTTGTGAGCTTGGAAATAGTGCCCAAATTTCCTAGTTGAGACCACCAATGCAGTGGCTAGTTTCTCCACCTCGGGGTACCTAGTCTCGGTTTCACAGAGGACCTTACTAATGTAATAGATTGGTTGTTGTATGCCTTTGTCTTCTTGCACCAAAATAGAACTGATGGCCTCATCCCCGGCCGAGAGGTACAAGAGTAGGGTTTCTCATGGAAGGGGATGTGTAAGAAGTGGGGGTGTGGCAGGATAGGACTCCAACTCATCAAAGGATTTTATGGAATTCTTTGGTCCATTGGAAGTCCTTCAGCTACTTGATGGCTTGGAAGAAGGATATGCAATGGTCGACCAACTTCGACATGAATTGGCTGAGGGCAGCCACTCGGCCAGTGAGCTTTTGTGTTTCCTTGATAGACTGAGGTAGTTCCATGTCAAGTATGGCTTGGATTTTCTCAGGGTTAGCCTCTATGCCTCGCTGAGTAACAACAATGCCCAAGAATTTGCCCGAGTCGACACTGAAGGCACACTTGCTAGGGTTCAACTTCATGTTGTACTTACTCAGCACTACAAAGGTCTCACCAGGGTTTGAGGTGTGCTAATCGGCTTTCAGGCCCTTTACTACCATGTCATCAACATTGGCTTCAATGTTCCTCCCAATCTGGTCCTTTAACACTTTGTTTACCAGCCGTTGGTAGGTAGCTCCAGCATTCTTCAATCCGAAGGGCAAGACCTTGTAGCAGGAGGTGTCATGCTCAGTGATGAATGTGGTCTTGTCCTCATCCTCAGGGCACATCTTAATCTGATTGTGTCCGAAGAAGTCATCCTTGAAGCTCAGCAGCTCGTACTCCATAGTGGCATTGACAAGGTAATCGATCATCGGCAAAGGAAATCTGTCTTTGGGGCATCTTGGTCACTTATCGAGGCTCTGTCCCAATTATGACTGGTAGGGTGATTCTTCCTTCTGGTTTGATGATGGCTTTGAAGAAGCCAACTAGTGGCACATCGACCGGCTGCAGCCAATCTAGTGTCAGCTTCATCTTCTCGAAGATATCATAAAAGAGGATGTCCGCTGAAGATCCGTTGTCCACAAGTGTCCTCTTCACCTTGTAAAAGGTGATGGTCATTAACACCACCAATGCATCATTATGGGGTACCGAGACTCCCTTCAACTCATTGTCTGAGAAGGAGATGACGTCGTCTGGTTTTGGCTTATTGGGTGTCAGGCCTTGGATGTTGAGTTGCTTAGAATAAGCCTTCCTAGCTAAGGCCAAGGATCCACCCGAGGCCGTGCCCCTTGCGATGACATTCACTACTACTATTGTTGTTGTGAGGATGAAGCGCTAGCATTGCCCTCAATGTACTCCTTCAATTGACCACAACGGATGAGGGAATCGATCTCATTTTTGCGCTCGTAGAAGTCTTTGTTTTGATGGACGGTGTCATGGTGGTACTTGCAGTATTTCTTTGGATTACCCCTCTTAGGGTTCCTCTTCATCTTGGCTGGCCACTTCAGGTATTCCTCCTTCCCTACTTAAATGAGGATATGCGTTTGGGTGGAGTTGAGTGGCATGTATTTGTTGTAGGAAGGGGCCAACGGCTTCTTGTCACTATCTTTGCTATTGTTGTGGTGGTTGTGGCCATGTCCGTCTCTTTCCTTTCTCTTCTCTGAGGCCCCCTGATTGTGGTTAGCCTTATGCTCCTAGAGGTCCACACTGGCCTTGGCCTCTTCAGTGGGAATGTACGTCTGCATTTTTTTTTCAAAAATCCCACCTTGTTCTTTAGTGGCATCTTGGAGATGGACCACTTGAGGGGTCCAGGCTAGAGGTCATTAATTGCAACATGCATGGAGACCGAGGGTCGAGGTCTCAGACTTTGAGCTCTTCCTTCTTGAAATGATCGGTGTAGGCTTAGAGGTTGTCGCCCTGCTTCTACTTGATCGACATGAGTGAGATAACGATCTTCTAGCACCGCCGGCTACTGACGAAGTGGGAGAGGAAGAGGTCGGAAATTGCTCCCATGAGCTAATGGACCAAGGAGGAAGCATGGAGAACCTTTTGCATGCGGCTCCTTTGAACGTGGCTTGGAAGGCTTGGCACGTTAAGGCGTTGGAGTATGCATAAAGAAGCATGAGTGCTCAAAAGCTTTCCAAGTGGTCATCCGGATCAGTGGTCCCATCGTACATCTCCAAAGTGGGAGCCTTGAAGTGAGGTAGGAGCGGCTCCGATGTAATGGAGTCAGTAAAGGCATCGATCCAGGTGGACGAAGGGTTTTGATTGGTGGAGGCATCACCTCAGCCCTCCTTCACCTGTCAGATTTCATCTTCAATGGCGCCTATTTGTGCCTGTATATTGCCCAGACGTCAGTCAATGGGGACTTGGGCCTTGTCCTGGTTCTCTTTGACACGAAACGGGTTAGCCCAGTTTCTAGAGTTCTCGAATGCTGATATGTGTTGGGCTTTTTGGGCTCGACGATCATTGAGGAGGTCGTGGAGGCCCGATTCTGGAGAGGGAAAGGTGTAGCGTCAGCCTGCAACCCTCAAAGGAGGACTATAGTGACCAGAGCACTCATCGTCATCCTGGTGGAAGTGGTCACGGTCCCGACGATTGTCACGGGACCCAACTGGATCATCTCTTCGTCGGCTAGGGAGGCGGGATGTCTTTAACGGCTTGCTTGTACATTTGTTGTTGCTATTGGACACTGAGGGGTCATCTTATCTAGGGCCGAGCAGGCACTGGACCAGTGGTGCATGTGTGGAGCGTCCACTATGTTGCCCATGGCTTCTAGCTAGGCGGCCGCCGTGTGGTCGGCCTGTTGCCGGTTGCCCCACCTCGTCCAATCTTTGAGTTATATTATCCAATCTATCAAGGACCAGTTTGAATTGGTCAATAGTGACCAAGTTCTCAGTATTCGATTATTGTCTTGTTTATCAACCATATCAGAAGGTTAGTTGTTTGAGTTTGTTGTTCTTTTAAGGGAGGTTGTTAAGAATCATTCCCATTGATAGTGCCAATTGTTGCTTCCAAGGATGGAGCTGAGGGCAACAAGGTAACTCCACTTCTTTGGCCAAGGCTAATGCGTCCAACCTAAGGGCAAGAGAGTACACGTCAGAGGCCCCTGGTGTTATCCCAGGGGCGGAGACTCTGATGGTCAAGTTAGTCAAGCGTACGAGAGGGTCGGATTAGGTTTGACACAGGGACTCAAATTAGTCAAAGATAGGACTTCTAGTCCTGATAAGGGATGGGGTTAGGATTTCTAGGCCTGATAGGGTTGGGAGTAAATGATAGGACATACAAAACCTGGCCCGACCTTGCCTCATTGCCATTCCTAGTCTTTCAATGTGGAGATGCAAGAACAAGCAAAGTTTGGAATTTGTGTGGTAGATGAAGAATAAGTATTGCATTAGCTTGAGCTAGGGTGAGTAAGAAAAACCAAAAAACTGAATCGAATTGGAAAATCAACTGAAACCAAACCGAAAATCTGGTTAGCCGAATCGATTGATTCAGTGTTTTTAAAATACTAAAGACACGAGTTTGGTTTTGGTTAACCAATATAGAAAACCGGCGGTCAACCAAACCAACTAGTATACATATAATATTCTATATATTTTAGGTGTATTTATGTATATTATATATACATTTTATATTTCCTATACATTATAAATTTATAAATATGCATTATATGTAAATATATATTTATAATATATAATATATTACTTATTATTTAAAATATAATATTTTATATATATTTCTGATTTTTATTATATCTTTATATATTTTTTATAATATATATTAAAAAACAAAAAAAAAACAATGAATCTAATCAATCGGCTTTGGTTCAATTTCGATTAACAATTTTCCAAAAACCAGTCTTACCAATTCAATTCCAAAAATAGGCCCATGATTCAGTTAACCAAACTATGAGAACCCCTAGGATGAGCCAGTAAACTTTCCTGCTGAATTCCTGCTTCATAGCACTGGATCTTAGGGGTTGGGCTGGGGTAAGAGACAATCCAGGCCTAACCCAGAGACCAAAACTTCCTTCTATCCACGACCTAATGGAAGTTGGAGATTTGGAATGCTATTAAGATTGTTCACCACTCTACTTCAATGCTATTTGTCGCAGTGTTTTTGAGTTGTTATTGATCCGGACAATTGAAGCATTTAGCTTAAAAATCATCTAAGCAACTGGTTTCGTTTCACCCTTAACCTATTCCTAGACTAAGCAATGTTGACATGGTCAATAATCCATTGACCTAGGTGGTCGAATCGTCAAACCATCGACCTAGACAATGATTTTTCGACTGTTTTTTATTTTAATTATTTTTAACATTTTATTCTTTAATTGGAAAAGGCCATCCAATTGAACCGGATGGTCAAATTGCTGACCCAAAAACTAGTGGTCAAATGTGGTTCAGGTTTTGAATCAGTTTTTAAAACATTGATTTGCTGCCCAACATTGTAACAAATAATAACAAATAAGTACATGAGATGTTCCCAATATATGATAGGATGTGCGTGTGAGACGCCAATGAGGCGCCAGGTGTGAAGCAGATCCGGTCTCCGTTCAATGCAGCCCAACCGACGTGTTCACTTTTCATTGGTGGATTCACGCATCCCAAAGAACACAGACTCCTTTAGCTGAACCTGACAAAAAGACTTGTAAATTAAGACATGTGCAACTTAAGCAATGGAGCTTCTTAAAAAAATTCTAACTGTACTTCAATGAGAATTAGCAGGAATTTATTGGATATAACAATCTTTAATTAAAATAAAATCGGATATAAAAAGAACATGCAAAAAAAATTCTCACAACAATTCAATAATACTGACCAAGAGAAGGAAAATAAAATAAAATTTACATATATATAGCATATATATAACCAATTTGATCAGTACAGCCGTGCAGTGTTAATTAAATGGAGTTTCATCAGGTCGATCGTGCGACTGGCCAAATATCAAAGAGATTCCTGAGAGCCATTCACGCCCCAAGACTGCAAAGGTGGAGTAAGAGCACGATGATATGATGGAAACTCCCGTGGGTTCTCTGCGGCCAATTCAGACAAGATTCCTCCATTCTGAAATCCTCGGCCAAGCTGCTGTTGTTGGTGATGATCATTGATCAATGTTCAGATCGGTGGGTTCTTCTGGTGTAAGCGGGTCAGACAAGGTCTTCAGTAACTCGTCAATGTCAAAGAACAAATGGGGCTGCAAATTCTAACTCGGTTCGTTCAGGTTCAGCTTCACAACCTACTGGGCCAAACCCCCCCCAAAGAAGAAGATAAAACACCTACGCTCGCTGATTCAGGTTGCTCGAGTTGAACCGGATTCTCAAAACCGTCAACGCCAAAAGTTTCCAGTGATGAGCTTGACGAATAAGACGAAATTCCAGCTAATGGTTCATTCGGAAGCAAGGCTGACTGAAAGCAAGAAGAAGAAGGTATGACAGGCTCTCTCTGTTGTTGCTCCAATACACGTTTCATTACATTCTCCTTGYCTCTCATCAACAAAGATTCGATTTCTCGCATCCGATATTCATAATCGTTCAAATCAACTTTTCCGTTGTCAACTTCAATGGCAACACTGCTTTGGTTAAGGCGGTGCGGTTGATGGTGATGAAGGAGGAGGTAGCGGTCGATTAAGGAGTCGACTACCGGATCGCCGAACGTGAAAACTTTACCAGCGGGAGAGAAGATGATGATCGCAGTSTTGGAACCGGAGAGATCATCTAGTTTCTTAGCTTTCTTGAACAATCCCGTTCTTCGCTTCGAAAAGCATACATTAAGTTTGTCTTTGCACTCAATCTTCTCGRTCTTGATCCTTCTACGACCCATTGCGCAATCAAGAATTGTAGACTGATCACGATTACTCTGACTACAGTGAGAATGAAAAAATGAGAAAGATTGCGAGAGAGCGAGACAGAATGCGAGARCTAGGGTTTAAGAGATTCAGAATGAGAAAATCAGAGTTTTATTTCTGCCGAAGGAATCTTTCGAAAGACTAGTTTATTATTTACACCGGAGAGAAAGAGATGATCATACATGTATATGAGCCGAGTTGATTTTGAGTCCTAAATTGGAAATAGAAAGCCTCGATGAACAACTGTTTACAAAATTTTGGACTCGTCTATCTTTAGGCTACGCGCCTACGCCTCGTGAACAATACAAAATTCCGAGTTTGCCCTTCTTCGCTCAAGATTTTATCAACGGTAAAATACAATCACGCATGACTCATCACAAAATTAGAAATGGATTAGGAGTACCTGACTACCTTAGGATTTGGTAGTTGGTAGAGACCGTAGAGTAACCATCTCTACCGTTAATTCCGTTACAATTCATGTTTCTTGCTCCTCTTTTTCCAATAATTCCTAGGACCATCTAATCAAAGAATAGACTTGTGATCGGACGGTCAGAATATTAGTGGTTCGTGTATACAAGGTGGTAAATAAATCAAGGGATATCTAGGCATTCAACCGTATGATTTAGAGTGGAGATGATGATGTTCATTGAAGCAGCCAAATGGGCTGGTAATCAACCCAACCCGATGGTCCCAATCAAATAAAGAGATGATCCATCTCATGTAATATAGCACACATCTACAATACATAGGGTTCAATTTCAGCGGCCCAACCCGTGCTCGGCTAGACCCGATCCACAATTTTATACGAATTGGGCTTATATTTTTGGTCTTCGGGCTGGCATGAGCCTAAAACTTTGGGATTCTTTTTTTATATTTTTTGCCTGGCCTCGGCCTAGTCCTTTGGCAGCCCGAATTCATCTAAAGTTGACTCTACCTAAACTTAAATACATATTTGTATGCATGCATATATTATACAAATATATATTTGTAATGCATACATGTATATTTGTATAGTTTTTTTGGTAAATCATATATATATATACATACATTTATTATTTTATACTGAATTTTAATGTTGACTGATTGATCTATCTGATTGCATCAAATTTCAGTTCTAGTTGGGCCCTGATTGGATTATTCAACTTTCGGGCTTGACCTCAGGCTTGGGCTTGGACTAAAACCCAGTCCAGCCCACCTGATTTGCACCCCTAACAATATGAATTTCTAAATGGTGCAATGTCAATGGGATAGATTAGGAGAGATTCACATCAGCCCAAAACCGGATTAAGATTGACCCTAACCCATACAAGGTTGGATGATCATGGGCTTGGTTGTGCCAAGATCAGATTTTCTCCTCATAGAGCATGCCTCACATCAATTCCCGATTAAGGGAAAATTCCCGATCATGGGCCAGGTTCCAGGCCTATAGTTCTAAATACACTAAAATTAAGGGAAAATTCCCGATTAGTACCTGTACTTTGGGCCTAGTGCCACTTTGGCCCCCTAACTTTAAAATGTGACAATTCAGTACCTGAACTTTCAAAACATGACAATGCAGTACCTGTCGTTAACTAGTTGTTAACCAGTCATTAAGTGGCATTTGAAAAAGATACAAATGTCCTTCGAGTGTCATCTAATTTTCTTTATCAACCATCCAAGCATTGAATAAAAATTAACAGTCCCAAATCCTTGCCTCTTCTATTTAAGAAAGTTGGGGTCACTTTATTCCCCAAATTTTAAAATGTGATAATTCAATATCCAAACTTTCAAAACGTGACAATCCAGTACCTGTCGTTAACTAGTTAACCAGTCGTAAAGTGACATTTGAAAAAGATACAAATGCCCTTCGAGTGTCATCTAATTTGCCTTATCAACCATCCAAACATTAACAAAAAATTAACAGTCCCAAATCCTTGCCTCTTCTATTTAAGAAAGTTGGGGTTATCGGAATGCCCACTTAATGGCTGATTAACAGCTAGTTAACGGTAGGTACTGGATTGTCATGTTTTGAAAATTCGCGTACTGAATTGTCGCATTTTAAAGTTTGGGGATCAAAGTGGCACTAGACCCAAAGTACCGGATACTAGAATTAAATATAAAAGGGTAAAAATATGAAAAGACATTTATTTTTAATTTTTTACTACACTAATAATGTACGTTAAGCATCCTAACTTGGGAGGTGTTTGGTACAGTGGTGTTGCATTGCCACTAAATTTTGGGTTGATCAATACAAATTGGAGAGAGAGGGCGGGTGGGGGGGGGAGATTTTTATTTCAAATGTTTTGAAATGACCCTTATATATGCAATACATTTTTCTCACAAATTTGTATTGACAAACGCAAATTGTATCCAAATTATAATGCCATTGTATCAAACACCCCGTTGATGAATAGCTTTAAAGAAAGAGATCTGGACAATTACCATTTACAAAATTGACAATATATGTTATTACTAAAATATTGACCAAGCAATATAAAACACTTACATAATATTTTGTATATATATATATATATATAATACATGCTTGATATTTTGATATCTAAATATAATAAAATAATATAAAATAAGAGAAGCACAAACACAAATATGTGTATGTATGTTTTATTTGAAATATTGTGGGCCAAGCTGGGCTTAAGGTATTTGTCCTAGGTCAAAGCCTGGAAATTTATTATAATGCCATTGTATCAAACACCCCGTTGATGAATAGGTTTAAAGAAAGAGATCTGGACAATTACCATTTACAAACTTGACAATATATGTTATTACTAAAATATTGACCAAGCAATACAAAACACTTACATAATATTTTGTATATATATATATAATACATGCTTGATATTTTGATATCTAAATATAATAAAATAATATAAAATAAAATAAGCACAATCACAAATATGTGTATGTATGTTTTATATGAAATATTGTGGGCCAAGCTGGGCTTAAGGTATTTGTCCTAGGTCAAAGCCTGGAAATTTCTGGGCTGGGCTAGAATGATCACCTTTAGTTCGGGTTTACCACTTTAACCGAACCCAATGACTAGTTGGTTTGCTTTTTAGTGAATAAGGGAGTGTTTGGTACAGTATTATTATTGTTGCGTTTTGAATTAATCAATATAAATTTGTATGAGAAAGATTTTTGTACTTGAAATATTTTGAGTTAATCAATACAAATTACTATTTTAACAAAGTCCAAAGATTTCTTTTAATAAGGATTCACTTACATGGTTTAAAATCTTAAAAGGGTCAAAATGGGTGAATAAGGTTGAATTGCAACCATTTACGTACTAAAAAAACGAGTTATTAATGATTGTGGGCGGTTGTAGATGGATTGATATTCAACCCAATTATTTGGGGTCGACAATCCTTTTCCGCTAATCACATGCTATGAAATCATAAAAGTCATACTAAACAGACAATACACAAGAATGGGGCATTAAAAAAGTCCGATCTACGGCCAAGAAACCCACTGGCCGAGGTGGAATAGGGACAAAGGCGAGTCAAATGAGACCGAATTAGCCCCCACAAGACTGCCCCCCAACGTCTCCCACACCACATCCCTGCCGTGTATTGGAATTTGGAAACATCTCTCCAATAATGACATTATCATTTTTGGTATTATTATCAATAGATGTTTCTAATACATGGCGAGAATATGGTGTAAGATGTTGTAGGGAGCAGTCTTGTGGGGGGTTGATTTGAAATCGAGTCAAATTGTCATTATAAAAGGAAAAAGTACTACACTGCAAAAATGCACTTAGATGCATAATTCTATGGGGTTAGTAATTAGAGATCACATCTCTACCCCACAACACATCCCTGTCATGTATGGAGAACATCTCTCCATGATAGTACCGGAACCAATGATATCATCATCAAGAGATATTCCCAATACACAGCAGAGATGTGCTGTGGGGCGAGATGTGATTTCTAGTAATTGTCTAATACAAAATGAAATTAACAATGCAGTCAGCCACAAGTCTTCTTGTTGGACAGTTTTTGTATGCCCTTAGCTTCAATCAGAATGATGTACATTATGAGTTTATTGTAAAAGAATAAAAGTACATATTTGATTCATTTTCCCTTGCTATATTTCTGAAAAATACCCTTAAACTGGACACTTAATGAGACTCGTGTTAGTTTAGAATGTTTACAGCTAGTGGGTCGGTCTGGGGAGACCTATCCTGATAAGGCTAACATAGATGTGCCCCCAAGTCAGTTGGGGTGGCCTGTCTCAGCTGCTAGGGTGAGACCCAAGGCACATGCAGCGTAAGATTAATGAATCTTTGAACCGGACCAGATTCCCAGTATTGCCCTAGACCTTGAGATTAATGGGCAAAACTGGAAAGTTACACCCGACCCCTAGACTCGATTATGATACTGTACTAGGTGTCGGATTGGGCTGTCTTTGATGTACCAATCAGTGAGATCCTTAGCGGGGGTCAAAACCTGGGTATGTTGGG